CCAGAGAATTGTTGAAAAAATGCTGTACATATATGAAAGAGTATAGAATAGCGGACTTCAAAAATGCCATTTCAACAGCGAAAGAATGAGCTAGAGAGCTTGAAATTGAATCTCTTTTTAAAACCAATAGACTTAGACATATTAAATGTCAATCTGGTGAAACTACCTGTGACGAGCCTATAATTTCTCCAGAAAAGAAATTTGAGGATGAATTTTTTAATTCTCTTTTGGACACAACATTAAGCTTAGTCAAAGAAGGATTTTATCAGTTGAATAAATACTCCGAATCTTGGTCATTTTTGTACAACATTAAAAAGATCCCAGAAAGGTTGGAACTTTTGACACTCTGTGATAATCTTCAATTAAATTGACTCTACGTTCGCAATCTGATAAAGATGGAGGTATGCTGTGTGATGAACTCATAAGTCTGAAATCATTTTTGCCTGATGACAATGATGCTATCTTGCCTCTCTCTATCTTAAATTTCATAAACCATCACAACAGATGAAGAAATATACCCAAACGCATGAATAGCACTGCGAATATTACTGACTATACCAGCAACAGTTGCTAGTGGAGAATGACGCTTTTCAAAACTTAAGGTGATAAAAACCTATCTACGATCGACAATGTCTCAACTACATCGAAAATGCAATTTCACAAAATATACATTTTAATACAGTAGTAAGAGAGTTTGCCGATAGAAAGGCCAGAAAAGTAAAGGTTTATTAGTGTTATCAAGAATAAATGTTTGAAATTATTAAGATTAATAAGTGAATTAATAAATGAATATTTCTTTTGGTTATATATAAAAATACATAAGGTTCATTATGCCATGTTGTTTTCAAATTTATACTATTAGTTTTACGTAAAATAAAAAGTATTTTTATGACAAAGTATTATTTTATAATTTCATTATTGTTAGAATTAGAACCAGAGAGCAGCAAATGTGGAAAAAACAAAATTTATCCAATATATGAGCTTCGCTATTTATTGCATAGAAAAATAACCATTGAAGAACCACCTAAACGTACAAATATAGCTCAATGTAATAACTGCCTCGAATACGGACACACCAAAAGCAATTGTTCCCTACGTTCGGTCTGTTTGATTTGTAGAGAGCTGCATGCCTCGTCCAATTGCCCAGCTAGAAATGGAAATAATGTTGTTATGTTATTAAATGCAATAACTGTCAAGGTTCTCACACAGCAAACTATAGAGGATGCTCCGTCTACAAAGAATTGAAAAATAAAATTACTATTAGACCTAAGACCTCACCACGTAATTTTATATATACCAACGAACAATTTCTCCAGATAAGTCAAGCCGCTCATATTGTAACAATTAACACTAATGAATTAACTTAAGCAAACGTTATGAAAAGCTCTTCTAACATACAAAGCAATATTACTCAATGGGAAACCTCTACCCTACAGATGGTGATTGTTCAGTTAGCATACTCTGTTTCACAAATGAATCAACTTATGATTTCAATGCAAGTGATGATCCATGAACTCCTTAAAACTCAGCAACAACTACTAAACTCTATCGTTTCAAAATGAATTCCATAAAAATATGTCAAAAAATCGTCTAAATCATTACGCAATTGAAGAATTCGCTAAGGATTATTTGCAAGCCACGTCCATAAGTCTTAAATGCTGGAACGAAGATATAGTGATATCGTCAGTTTACTGTCCATCCAGATTTAATGTAAATCATACGCAATTTATCGAATTTTTTAAAACACTTGGCAAAAAGTTTATAGCTGCAGGCGATTATAATGCTAAACGCACTCACTGGGGCTCATGGTTTATTAATCTTAAAGGCAAAAACATCTACTTAGCGCTATCAAATCGCCAATTGAACCTTGATTTTACCTCTTCAGGTCAACCCACTTATTTGCCCCCAGACTGACGTAAAATTTCCGATCTAATTGATTTTGGTGTTGTCAAAGGCATAGACCGAAACCTTATAAATTCTCAAACTTGTTCTGAATTGTCTTCTGATCACTCGCCTGTCCTGATAACAAACAAACTAACTGGATTAAATTCCGAAAATACATTAGCAGTCACATAAACTTTAAACCCAAGCGCAGAAGTGAAACAGATATAGACTTAGCCGTGTATGTTCTTACGACTGTTATAACCGCAGCTGCAGTGCACGCAACACCTATCAAGCATCATCCCGACACAAAGCCTCCAAAAAGGATATCTGCGCAATGCCGTCTACCAAGAGAATGGCAACGAATTAGATCTCCATCCGCAAAACAAAAGTTCAATCAACCAGCTAAGCTATTAAAAGAAACTTTAGATAAAAAACTGCATGAAATTCGGAAAGTGCTCCGAATTCAATAAAAGTCAGTCCTAATGATGTCAAGAAAATTATTGTCCAGCTTCAAATAAAAAAAGCTCCTGGTCATGACCTAATAAGCAATGAAATGATATCTCAGCTTCCGGATATTGCTGTAAGAATGTTTTCTCAGCGTTCATAAAAATTCTTTCACCGCTTCCTACAGGCTCATCTCAAGGACGTCCAAAACTGGCTAAGCGACTGGCGCATTCGCGTAAATAAACAAAAAAGTACACACATAACCTTTACTCTTAGAAAAGATACTTGTCCACCCGTAACTCCCAATAACGTCATTATACATCCATTAGGCATCCTAAAGCGTTACATATCTTGTTATTCATTTAGACCGACGATTGACATGGAGACAACACATAGCCGCAAAACAAACACAAATAGAACTAAGGTTTCTTAAGTTGTATTGGTTACTCAATAAAAATTCAAGATTACGGTTTGCTCATAAACACCTGTTATATAAAACTATGATTAAGCCCATATGGACTTACGGGACCCAGCTTTGGGGTAAAGCCAGCGTATCAAACATAGATATTATTCAGCGCATTCAGTCAAAAATACTTCGGAGATATTATACAGCGCATTCAGTCAAAAATACTTCGGAGCCCTGTGGTTCCTCAGAAATTCCTTCATACATATGGACCTTCATGTACCTCTAGTCAAAGACGAGCTAGCCCTCCTATAGCAAAAATATGATGCTAAAATAATGGTACATCCAAACCCACTCGCTTAATATCTTACCAGAACAAGAAATATATCCCGTCTCAAAAGATCAGGTTTACCAGCATAGCTTTAATGCATCCTAAATGTATTACCACATCAAGTTGAATAATTATTAAAAATCAAAAGTTAAGAATCTTTACGTTTTAAAGAAGGAAAGTTTAGGTAGTGACATAAACTTTGAATGAATAATTTTAGTATGTAAGATTTAAATAATTCCATAAATAAAAGAAAAGAAAAAAAAAATTATTATTATCATTCTATACAATTTTTTTTTCGCTTTTTTACATGGTTTCCAATAGAAGGTAGGGGACGCCTTAAAAATTTTGCCCAGGGGCACCGATAGTGCTAAAACCGGCACTGGCAGTACATATTTAATATTAGCATCCTGCAGAAATTATTCCCAGCTTCTTCCATATCTTATTGGAATCATTCTATCTTTGATTCATCTGCAATTAATATAGAGCAACCTTGTTTTTTTGAAATTTTCATTTCAATTGTCAGAGTTTTAAATATTGCTAGGCGTACTATTTCATCTGTTATTGAACCCAAAATATATATAATTCATTTAATTAGAAACAAATGAGCTTTGTGAATTTGTTTCATAAAAAAAGTACCATAACTAGTTTCCACTAGCTACCAAAAGGTAGGTATCTGTTCGATTTATGTACTAACTTCATATTAAGTGATGTCATAATTTGATTTTTTACAATCGAATCATATTTTTTGATGATTATACAATATTTATATGTTATATTTAGAAGACTGTATGTGATGATTATACAATATACAAATTGCAAGGTGAACAACCTAGGGAGAGTTGTTAAATTGTGCTCTTCAATTTCTTTGAACATCGGAAAGTCTAAATCAACTGTTAGCCAATATGTTACATGCTTAGAATAGTATAGCGAAGGATGACTCATTTCCGTTGCAGCAAATAAATGTTAGACGATAGAAGTAATAAGGCGTAAGGTGCAATGCTTGCAATGACTCCGCTTCTGGTGGTGATTCAAATAATTTTTAATCAAACTGCTGTAACTGTTAAAAAATCCAATTTAATCCTGTTGCTTGATCCTCTTCGCAGATATATGTATATATTCAACAGCAAAATTTTTAATTTCAGATTAAAAAATTTTTGTCTGTAAGAGTAGAGTAATATAAACATACTTGCTATTACAATACATCTCACTTGGTATATGTACGGCAAACTGTGTATAGTAAATGTTAGATATAGTATCTAATAATGAGATTGTCATCACGATCATTTTTAGCTGATACAATTCAGTATGGATGGGAATTTCATTCAAAGTGTTTCACAATACATTTGGTAAATTAAGTTTAAAAATTAGTTCTAATTTATTATAATTCGGATGTACATGATTATTATGTCTGGTTTTTCACTAAAGTAAATATGTATTCCTTCAAGAAGATTTCTAAAAGTACCACCATTCAGTTTTTGAACAATGCTGTCTTTTTATATGTTGATATTCTCTGGAGTGAATAAAAAAAGAAAAAATAAAAAATAAAAAATTTCTTAACAGATATTTTGTATTTAATGAAGACAAGAATTGTCATTTTTCGATATCAAAACTGAATAATCTCCAAGCACTGCAAAACATCATTTAGTAAAAGTAGAACGACATTTTGTATTATTAAAATTAAAGAAGTTTAGTTTTTCTTACAATTTTTTATAATCTATACCTACATACATATGTACATATGAATACAAAACATGAATAATTATGTG